ATAGAGGAGGAGGAAGAGAAACAGAGAATCAAGAGGATTCAGATGGAGAGGGGAGGATGATGGTATTGGAAGTGATGGTGATGTTTCTTCTCGTACGCATAGTTCACCCGGACCAGGCTCTAGACAATCACCCGTATCTGGATATGTGGGAAAAGAAAAAAAGGCACAATCCAAGGTAAGCATAATACACTTGTTTTGTTTCAGAGTTTTGCTATCTCCTTTAAATCTATTGCAATTTCAAGTGTTAGTGTTATTTAAGATAATTACAAGTATTATGTCGTGCATCAGTAAAGAAAATCATAACTTGTATATCACAGTATCTTTTCCAACATGCTTAGCTGGATTAGCATCATTTTCTCTCTTAAATTTTGATGCACACATGAAAGATGCCTCAGCAGAACACCTGGGAATAGTGATTATGTCACAATAATGCATCAAACAACTCAAGTGTATTTTCATTAGTCCTTTAAAACATGCAGAATATTCCAAAAAGAAATGTTAGAATTTAAATATTGTTTTTGTCAGGGTAGTTTTTATTTGTTCTTTTTTTCTTTAATATTTTTTACTTTGACTGTAGATTTTTTTAGCACAACACATGTTCCTATAGGAATTAGTTTGTGCCTGCCTACTTTCATATTTTGTGGTGTATTTTATTTTATTTACAAGGCAACTCGGGGTTATTTTAAGCTGTGGTACCATGTAAGTACTTTTCTTTATACCAGATCAGTCTTAAATTGTTCATTGTTCACATAGTTGTGGGAATAATTTCTTTCTATAGTGGTTCTGAACAGCCTGATCTATTTTTGAACTTAATTTTTTTACACTTTGAATACTTTTGCATAGCTAAATCATTGGGCATATTTCTACATTGCTCTAAAAATATATATGTATGCCCTGCTAATGTTATTCTTATCAACTTTGTGTAGTGAAGCACATACTTCCTGACTAGTACATCAACTTTGGGTAGTGAAGCACATACTTCCTGACGAGTACATCAACTTTGTGTAGTGTAGTAAATACTTCCTGACTATAACCTATAATGAGTCTTTAAAAGGTTGCCCTGAAGACAAGCCACAGGGTTCATACAAGTACTTCAATCCCTGGAATTTTGTAGAAAATGAGCCCTAAAAATTTCACTATTGGAAGTCCTGGAAAGATACATTTTCAAGTCATGATTCTTGAAAATTTCTGAAATATCAGTTTAAGTAAAAAAAAAATCTCTGATGAAATAATTAGCTTGGTTAAGAAAACTAAAGAAAAGAGCAAAACAGTTTGGTTATCAGAATTAGGCTTATGTATGTTTTGTGTCATCCTTTGTGAATCTCATGCCTTACTAGTCCTGATTCTGTTGCAATTTCTGCATTTGAGCATATCTTATAAACAAAAGGTTTAATTATGTGGAAATCTGAGTATAGGTCATGGAATTTTTCTTTATATTGTAAAGTCTGTTTGAACCCAGTGTTACTTATCAAATCTTAATGTTTTATTATTTATGAATACCAGTTTTTATACTTTCACAATATTGCTCTTGCCTACCTTCCTGTAAAAACAGTTTCTTTTGTTATTATTACCTAAAAACTATTTTTTGGTAGTCACTGTATTCTTTGTATAGATTATTTGGTTTGATTTTTTAATATTTAATGAGTGTAACAAGATATTCTTATTTGATTTAAAGAATAGTTTTTGTGAGTGTCACTTTAGTATTTACACAAATTTATTCCTTACGTATGAGAAATGCTGAACTTAGAATACATTTTCATTGATGTAGAATTTTACTAAATTAATACGTAGTAAAGTTTGAAATTTAAGAGTATTATGAACAGGTATTTTCAATGAAATAGTATATGAAATTTATTTTCTTTATGTTTTATTAAATTTGGTACATAACAGTTGAATGACTTGTATATGTCTTAATACAACAGATTGCTATGTATACAAACAAATTTTCTAATCAGATTTGCTCTGCTAACTGTGCATTGTTGTGGCTGGTTTGCTTTCAATTCTAATTCAGGTAATTTTTTTTCATGGTGATGGTTGTTTCCCTGCAAAATGTACCAAATAAAACTATTTCTGTTAGATTTAAGAAAAGTTTTCTGTCAAGATGGTAAATGACACAGTATATATTATTATTTATTACTTAAATTGTTATTTATTTATTTATTTATAAGAATTTTAATTCTTATACTTTATTTCTACAAGCCTTTGGCTTTTTTTGCATTAATGTATGCTCACTGCATGTAAGCATCTTTTCAATACAATAATTCACATACAGAATTTCTATAAATTCTAATTTTCTACATTCTTGAATTGTACTATAAAATTCATTACCTCTAATTCAAAGCACTAATGTAAAATTTTCAACCTTCTGAAAGCAAATTTCAAACATTTTTTAAAATCAGAATGATTGTTAAATGGACAGTAAGCTTTAATACCTTTTGTAGAAGCCAGATAGAGTTTATAAGAACAACATTTCTTGAAGGAGTTTGAATGTATCATCATTTACTTTGTATTACTGAAGGCTGTAGTTAATATCAAAAGCTTTCAAAATCCTTATGCTGATGTTTTTTGTTGAGGAAAGTTATGCACTAAACTTTTTTGGGAGAATAAAAAATACTTCAAACATTCAATTGTTATATAATTTCATTCTGTAATAAATATTATTTACTTTGAGGAATTGAGGAATGTATTTAAGCTGATAACATTAATTTTGGTACTTAATTTTGAAAGAACAAAGGACTATAAATTTATTTGTGCATTTTAAAATCTGGTTGTTTATATTTCATTAAAAATCACTCCACCTATCTATGGTATGTATGTAAATTACTATATCTCAGTTTATATATTTTGATAAATTACACTCAGTTGCAAAAGTATTCTTATAAAGTGATTTTTTTTTCCTTTTTCTTTATAATGTTATACCTGTTTAAATTTTCAGTATTTGTTCAATCTTGATTCTAACAATTGAAAACATTGTGGGCTAAGGTGAAGTGACAGACCAGCACTAACCTCAGTAAGCTTAGTTGTAGTTTTATTTTCATACCAGCGAAAGTACCCGGCTTTGCTTGGGTTATTAGTTTGATATACTCTAGATGTCTATATCAGTATGTGTATTCTGAACCCATTTTTAGCATAAAAGTATGACCTATATACTTTTGTTGCTTAGCAATATGACATAAAAGCCATTATTGGAATGCATTGTAACCAAAACTCACTGGCTTTTCTATATATTAGAAGTTGTTACATAAGGAATCACTTCTTTTCTATGTGGATTTTTACTAGCTTGCTTCATTAAAAAGATGTGCATGTGCGTGTCTGTCTTTCTGTGATTCCTATTTTTAATATAAGGAACCACTTTTCTTTGTGGTTTTTCATTAGCTTGTCTCATTAAAAATGTACACATGTGGATGAGATAAGCAATATGCAGGTGCACACCCTCAGGGTCCTCTTAGTATGGGTGCAAAATTTCAGGTTTCTTGGTTCTTTCTTTTTGGAGCTATGGTGGTCACACTTCTTTTCTATGTAGTGTTTTGCTAGCTTGTTTCATAAAAAAACATGCATGCTCGCACCCATGTGGATAAGTAATAATACCCAGTTGCACACTCTCAGGGTTTACTTAATATGGGTGCAAAATTTCAGACTTCTAGGTTCTTTCCTCTTGGAGTTATGGCAGTCACACATATACACACACCCTTTTATTATTATAGTATACCATTTGTGAACATCATACTCATAGTCTGATATATTGAATAAATGGAAAAAATATTATATTCCCTTCTTAACTGTTATGTCTTCACATTGTCAAGAGTTCACCTAAGTTAAAACTATATAAAGTCTGTTGTTTACATTCAATGCTGTTACAGTTATTAAGGCTACATGATAGTGAACTAAAATATCTTTGCACTAGTGATTTGTTTCTGTTGTAAACCATCTATGATAAAAAACCATTTTCAAAACATCAGGGAATTATGCTTTTTTAGAAATACTTGTTTGTTTTTATAGTTACTGGTTATATAAAGGCATCCTTAATATATATATGTTATTTAGTAGCATTTAGCTGTTTAGAAAAACAATTATAATGATTACTGTTTTATTAAGTAGAGCTATCAACCCATCTCTGATTTCAAAAATATAAAATTTACATAAAACATAGTTTATGTTTTAACTGGGAGTTGAAAAATATTTAAAACAGTTAACAATAGTCATAAACTTTTTCAAATAACAAAACTGATTTTATTCATGAAATATTTTCTAAACGTAGGAGAATCCTTGGATTCTTTTTTTTAAATTTTTAAATGTGCATAAAATCTTGTGGTGCAAAGTTAGTCTTTGTTCCTCATAGATAGTTGTAATTTTCTTTGCATTTGTATGGGCTAGTTGTTAGCATGCTGGACTGAGGATCTGAGGTTCCATGATCTGTATCCTGTTACTGGCATGAAATTAATTTAAAATAATCACACTTCACATTTTTTGGGCTGTGGGTACATTATAAGAGTGACATACAAATCCCACTATTCATCTGACAGGAGTATCCCAAGAGTTGATGGTGTTTACTAGCTACCTTCTGTTAGATATACATGACTGTTTAAGATTAATTATAATCAAGTTATAATTTAGACAGTTATATAGCGCCAGTGTTAAATTTAATTATTTTTAGAAATTATAGTTTATCACAGGTTTGTTTGTGTTGTGAACTTCAGTTATTGTGAATTGATACTTATTGTATTATTGCATCATGTTACGAGAACCTTCTAAGTTTTTTCCTTGTTATAATTGAGTATTATTGCATCATAATATCTCATAGTTTGTAGAACATTCTAGGCCTCTGTCGGGCTATAAATACATGTTCAAAATGTAGTTCAAGTTACTTAGTTAGATAGATCTAGACTGCATGATTGTAACAGCATATAGTGGCAATTTATAAAGTGAAATTATCACAGATTCTATTATAATAACAGAGTAGAAAAGATATAATTTGTTTTGTCAGTTGTATTCTAAAGTCATTGAACCAGCCCGTGAGGACTTTGATGAAAAAGAGACAATTATTTAAAGCTATGGATACAACTGTAGTAACAAACAGTTATAGTGGTGATTTTAAAGTAAAATTATCACAGACTGTATTGTAATAACAGTGCAGGAAGAATAATTAGTCTTGTCAAATTGTGTTCTTAAGTAACTGAACCAGTTTTTGTGATGAAAAAAAGAGAAAATTATTTAAAGCTCTGGATACAACTGTGATAACCAACAGTGTAACAAACATTAGTATATACATTTGACATGTTTTAACATATTTTTTTATAACAAGTGGATTGTATGCTGATTGTTTATTGTTGAAATTTATTGCCAAAAAGTCAGACACCTACTGCAAAGAATCCGGCTCATACATACATAAAAACCTGACACCTTCCCTCTAGTCTATTATTTCTAAATTAGAGACTGTTAATGCAGATAACTGTAGTTTTGCTTGAAATTCAACAAACAAACAATCAATCTTTGCAATTACAAAATGTTATTCATCCCTGAATTACAGGTATACAGTAATATCAGTCTCTATTTTTTCTCAATAAGATTTTTAAGATTTAGAATTGTTATTGCATTGTATATTTTGTAATAGTTTTATGTGTATCTTTTATGAGGATACTGTGAAGCACTTCTTTATAAACTAAAGTGTAAAAATTACAAAAACTAGAACAGCTGCACATCTTCTCATTCTGTTGGTTTGTGCGTATGTGTGCATCTACCTCTATATATATGTGTGTGTGTGTGTGTGTGTATGTATACATGTTGTGAGAAATTAAGTTAGCATTATTCCTTTCTTCATGTGTGGGCATCAGTTGGTATAATCATCACATTTTATTATTATGTAATGCCAAGAACTGTTTGTTAACACATAAAGATGAATTACACAAGACAATTCATAAACATTGTACAAGTGATATTTACATGCAGAGCAGTGAATCCAATCAGATACCAGTAGATTGTCAACAACTTGGTATTGCCTCCATAATCGATACTAATGCAGTAAACTACTAAAGAAAACTCTGTATGTAACCTAGCAATTAAGTATTTATATGCAACAGCTCAGCATACATTAGTGTTACATGTTTACAATAGCTAAAATAGCTCTACATCACAAATCAACAATACAACTTTGTATATCCAATATCATGTGCCCACTGAGTTACTTCATATGCTGTACGATTGACAAGATGATTGCACAAAATGTAAGTAGGAAACTTCTAAGTTATTGTTATTAGAAGTTATGTGTGGGTAATATGATATGATAATATATGTAATGATTATGTGCCAACACATCACTGCACTGAAGGAAGAAATAATCGTAATTTAATTCTTAACAATATATGAAATTTTAATTGAAATAATTTGTGAATTTTGAGTTAGGCTTGACATTACAGCAGGTTGAATTCAATTTCTTTAGCTAGGCCTAATTAAAAATATATCTTTTAATTGAACTGTATACACTAAAACTCTTCAATTTTTGAAAATTAGCATCAAATGAATATGTTATTGTGGTATTAGGGGTTTACAAATGCTTTCTTGAGTCCAATATTTATATGTATAGTGATCTATAACTTTCAGGCCTTGGTGACATTAGATAATTGAGTAAAAAAGTAAATAACTGTCTCCCAAATCATCATTAGTGTTTATGATATTAAAATGTTTTTTTATGTTATTTGTAATTATGAAGATAAAAAAAGAGTGAAATTAGTAAAGTTGTGACTGAGTTAAGTTTACTTGTGTAAATACACCTATAATCAGGCTCACCATCGAGTCAAGTTGCTGGTACGTAGTCAGGCTGTGCGTGATGATACCTCACCACCTCCAGATCCAGAGGTTTTGTCAGCAAACAACAATATGTTGACTGTGACCAGTGCTTCAACTCTTACCATGCAGGTCTGTTCTGTTATCTTTTTTTCTGCTCTAAACTATAACTGTTCTACTTTGTCTTGCATGTGTTGCTATTTTCATAGTCTCAGTGCTTTCTGCATGTATGTAAGCACTGTGTTTATCTCTTGTTTTTGTTCTTTAGATAAAAGTATATTAGATTGAAAAATTGTGATGGTTGTTGATTCTGCTCACATGGTAGTGATTGGTCTAAACACAAAAGTAGAGTGAATATGAACATATAACAATTCTTACTGGAGCATAATATATCTAATCCCTAACATAAATATGTTTATACAGAGACCATTTGACACTACGTTTGAGGTGCAAAGCTTATTATGTAATCTGATAAATCTTTTTTTCCTTGTATTTCCCTAAATTGTCTCTTCTGACTGGTTTGCAAATTGAAAGTAATGTACCAATATCTGAAGTTTTCTGTTTTAAAGTTATTTCACATAAAGTTATACTTATGTGAATGGGTCAGCTTTTTTATGCAAGTCATTACATTTTATATTTAATACAATGACTTTATTATTAATGTATGTCAATATAATTATCATCAGAATATATTCTTTAATTCACAGTTTTATATTATATATGATTTAATTTCTTAGTTTCAAAAGGATATATTTAAAAAATTCTCAATTTTCACTCTTGTTGTCAAGTGATATGTGAGCACTTGCATTGTTCTTCTTTTAGTTAGTATAACTACAAAATCCCAACAATTACACTGTCTTTCCTGTATGAGACATAGTATTTATGCAATTCCAAAGTCCTGTGTTTGTGAACTTCCTAACGTCTCTGTTTACTAAGATATAAATAAACTTTCTCAATTTATGACAGAAGCCCTGCCCATCTTTCCTTAAATTTCAAGGCTCTTTTCAAAATTATGTTATCTTATTTGACATGCTTATTTATAAACTATACAAGAAGCTTGTTTTAAATTGCAAGCTACCAGTGGTTCTTTTGAAATTGGCAGCAATATACTCATGTCTTTATTCTGCAACTTGGTGGTAAGAGAACTTCAAACTTGTAACATTTAACAGTTTTTATAACTTAGTTATATCTTAGCTAGAAAGACAGTTAAATTAGAGTTATTTGTGGACATTTTATTTTAGTGATTTATGTATTAAAATGCATATTTGAAAGGTAAATCAATTTTTTTGTCCACAAAGAATTATAGGAAAAAGCTTCAGGCTTGGGTACTATAAGCGCATGAGTCTAAAGCTGCACACGAGCTTACATAATGCTCACAATGTGATGTGTCACTCTTCAGACATGAGAAAAAATGAAGCCAGCAATAAAATTATAAAATTGAAAATAATATATATGTGTGTGAAAAAGTAAACGGAAGAAATTGTGAACAACATAAAATCTTGATTTAAAACATGAATTATTGAAAAAAGAAGGAAAAAGTAATTTCATTTTAATCCACAATTTTCAAAATTTAATTTCAATTTCATTGTACATTGATAATTCAGCTATAGTTAGTGTTAGGTAAATAAAATAATAGATAAAATACAAGCTGTTACCTTAAAAAATTTTGATATTTATTTTGTAGGTTCTAGAGGTTAATTAAATATGAAAACTGGAAGATGAAAACAAGTATTTTTATTCTTAGCAATGAAAATCACCTTGCACTTAGACTGTAAGTGCACAGGAAATGTTTTACTAAAAATACTTTGTAATAAATATGACTTTTTTGTGTACAACAGAATAGTAATGTTTACTGAAAGTAAAAACATTGCCAAATATCGTGAAGATACATGTAGCAAATCCATAATTATAGAAACTTTGTTATGTGTAATTTCACAAGAATAGAGGTTGGTGTTAAACACCCTCACCATCTCAGTAGAGCTAATGATATTGTTATAACACATCCTATTGTTGGGTGAGTTCTTTGGGATTATTTGGTAAAAATGATGTCACATCCAATCTACTAAAGAATAATGAATTAACTTTTTCTTCTTTAATGTTTGCTACAAGCCATGGCCTAAATTCACAAACAAAGTTGAATCAAAATTTTGAGACTAATGGTCTGCCTAACTCACAAATGCAGAACAAACTTACAGAATTTCCTTGATAATTGATTGAGTAACTGAATAGACACAATAACTCTCACTACTAACATTGAACTGAATAACTTATTAACTTACTCATTGATTTCTCATTCACTTACTACTCGTATTTATATTCTATGCTTGAACATATTACATGAAGCTTCCTGATTATTGCATGATCATGAATTTTCTAGATATATTACATCAATATCATGATCAGCTAGCTCCATCTAGCAAATGTTTTAATTAAAATGTAAAAAATATAGCTAAAATAATTGCCCTCTTACTGGATTGTGAAGTTCCATGAATATTCCTAATACTATCACTTGGTGTCTTGTCACTGGAGTGAGGGTTTCGTATGTAGGTGGTCAAGTGAATTCACTGGTGGCTCTCTCATTGTTGATTCTCTTGATAGAAACTCTGTACTCCTCATCAGTAGGTTGACTTTCCACAAACAAATTATTTTCTTGTGTTATCCAATTAGCTGTTCTTTCATTCAAGTTCTTCTAATGATGATCATGGTAGATTACTTTTGGCTTGGATTGCCTTTACCTCTGGATTATGTAAGCCACATCATCAATTATTTTCAGTACAACATATGGCCATTCCTAACACTTACTTAACTGTGAAGTTCATTCTTTCTTGTTATGGGGATTGTACAGTTGTACTATGTCACTTCGATGAAATCCAGTCTTATCAGCTTTGATATCTTAGCAATTTTTCTTTTTATAACTAGCTGATTTGAGGTTTTTTACCAGGTAAAGTCATGTATAACCTCAATGTTGCTTCTTAGTCCTTTTGCATATCTGGTGTAAGGCTCTGATGAGTGATTATTCACTGAATATAAGTACAGAAGGTCCAGTGGCACTTCAAGTTCTCTACAAAACATCAGTGATAATAGTGGGTTGCTTGTAGCTTCATGTACTGCTGTTCGACAACTCAAATGTAGCAATGGAAGGTTCTGATCCCATGTTTCTGATATTAATCCATATAAATGCCTAATTAATTTAACAGTATACAGTTTTATCTATCAACTGTGCCACTTGTAGATGGATGAAGGGCTGTTGTTCTGGTCTTTTTTTTTTATTACAAGGATCTGACACATTTACACAAATAAAACTGATTTAAATTTCTGTCCCTAATTTGAGTGAAGTTCCATAGGCACTCCAGATCTCATTGACAAGTTTTATGCTAGAATTTCTGCTTCCTGGTTAGGAATAGCGTATGGTTCTGGCCCTTTGGTGAAATAATCAATCACAACCATAATGCTTTTATTCCAACACTTATTCTGGACAGAGGATCAAGCATATTGACAGCAACTGTTTCATGTGGTGCTCCCATATGATACTGCTGTAGTTGCTCATGCTGTTTATTTTATAGACCTTTTTGCACAGAATAATTCATATTTTGTACACCAGTTCTCTACATCTCCTCATCACTCAACCCAACAGAAATGTTCTCTTATTTGCTTCAGTGTCTTCTTAAACTTAATTGTCCAGGTGTTGGAAGATTGTGGATATGATGAAGTGCTTCAGAGTGTAGAGATTGTACATACAAGTATCAACTGCAGTCATTGTTTCTGCCTTCTGGTGTCTTCCCATTTTTGATATAATAAGCCTTCTTGTAAGAACAATCTCACTTTGCCCATTAAATATTTGTCTTTGGTCTATATGAAGCAGTTATTTCCCATGGGTTTTTTCTGCTTTATTCTTGATCCACTGAATAATTTATTTCAATCTTGTCTTTTGTCAGAGCATCTTTCAGTTGAGTGTTGGATCACATTAGTTCTTTACCATCACTTGTAGATGTCACATTCTAGATCATACTCTATTATACTTCAGGTTAGTTGTTTTTGTTATCTTATGCTTCCCTCTTTTCATGGTGTTTACATTCTTCATGAACGTGTGGTCTTTAGGACAATGCATTGAAGACCAACTCATTTTACATGCAGCAGATGTTAGTGATTTTGCAGTGGGAGCAGTTTTATAAGAACAACAAAATGGAACAGAATATGTGATTGCCTGCTATAGCAAAGTAATGAATGCTGCAGAAAAGAGGTACTGTACAACATGAAAAGAGCTACAAAGTGTTGTTCAAGCCATAAGTTATCTGAAGGGACATGAGCTTACACTTCAGATAGATCTTGCAGCATTAAAGTAGCTGATGAATTTTCATAATCCACAAAGCCAAATAGCAAGATGACGTAAGAAACTTCAGGAATACAACTAACATTTTCCATCACCCTGGATGGAGCCATGGAAATGCTAATTAAAACCATTCTCTAACAGAGCGTATCTTCTATGTACATTACTTGAAAAACCAAGTTCTGTTGGATGGCTGATTGTGAACAAGCATTAAAAAAATTTATGAAAGAATTAACCACTACTCCTGTATTAGCATACTCAACTCCAAAACAACAATAGTAAGAGTATATTCCAAGAAATCCTCTTACCTGACATAAATTCCTTGGAGCTAGCCAATTCTGAACTTTTCTGTGACTTTAATAGATTCAAATGCTATCATCAACTAGAATGTTTCCTTTAAAGATGTATACTTAATTTCTTCAACTTAATTCTCATATCCTTGTCTGTTATAGCATCTATAAGTAGATCATGTATCATTTAATTTGGAGCATCCAGATAAGATAATTGGACAACTCTTTCCAAATCTTTTGCAAGTTTGGCCAAATTCTCTTCTTTCATCCTATTCTGGAACCTTGCTCTGAAAGCTTTCTTTTGATGTCATTCTGAACCTGTTGGATAAGGCAGCTTGATAAATGTTCTGCTTTTAGCTTAAAGTTTTTTGTTAAAGTTTACTCTTTTAAATAGGCAGCAATATGAATACTATTCCACTCATTCAGTCTGGAAATTATTTTAACTGAGCCTGATATGTCTTCCATGTATTTCCACCATAGTCCATTTATTTTTAATTGGATGACGTTGTTGAACT